GTGATATCTGTTGTATATGTTCATTGTTGAGTATCATGGTTTAGACTGAAGGATTGATGGTTCTTAGAGAAGTGTAAAGTGAGCAATCTCGAGCTGCTGAGCGAAACAATGCCAGACTGTTGGACAATGAAGAAAAAATTTTGATATTAAATCTGAATACAGATATATAGGCCTGTGGTTAGATGATATAATCGCTATAAATGTAGTTAGCATGTCCAACCATATGGCATCGAGCAAAAGAACGAAGACATCAACTCCACACCGACGGCCTCTTCCTCGCCTCAAGCCTCTCCCTATACTCACGACAACTAATCTTGATCCCCTCCTCCAACCCAACCTGCACCTCATACCCAATCAATTGCTTCGCCTTTTCAACAGAAACATAGCAATCTCTACACCCTTCGCTCACCATGCCACGACTCAAACTCGCCTCTTGCCCCGCCGCCCACGCCGTCCACTCGGCCGCAATCCCCATCCAGCGCGCCAACGTCACCGGCAACCGCACCTCAAACTTTGGCACATGACCGAACTCGCGCCAAACAGCCAAACACAGCGCCCGCGCCGTAACCGGCTCATCATTCGAAATAAACATGGCTTCCCCCGCCGCCGTGCGCGAAGTAGTGTTGGTCAACAGCAGATTCTCCACCGCCAGCACGTGCGCGTGCGCAACGTTGTCGACATAGACGTAATCTTGCAGGTTTGTCCCGGAACCGAGGATAAAAGGGGTTTGGCCTGCGTTGATGCACGCATGTATCGTGGGGATGCAGATGCGGTCTGTGGGGCCGAAAATGGGGGCTGAACGTAACGAGGTGGTTGCGAAGGAGGGGGAGTTTGAGGTTAAGACGAGGGATTCTGCGAGGGCCTTTTTGGGGGGGGAGAGGGGATTTGTGAGTGTTTGGTTGTTGATTGGTAAGAAATGGCGGGGAAAGAAGAAGAAGAAGAAAATCTGGGGGAACAAGAGGGAGGGATATTGAACATACCTTACTCTGCCCGTAACTCGTATCCGTCTTTCCCAACGGCCACGTCTCATCTGCATTCTTGAAATCCCGCGACAAATCATCACAGAGCACGGTGATACTGCTCGTGTACACAAATGCCTTGACGCCGTGCTCTTTACTCGCATCTAGCACGTTCCGTGTGCCCTCTACGTTCACTTTAAACACGGCGTCGCGGTCTTTCATGCTGTACCGCCTTGTGCCCACGTGAAAGATGCCGGCCGTGTGGATTACGGCTGTAGGCTTGGTTTCTGCGAACACTTTGGAAATAGAGGGGACATCCAGGATGTCGCAGCGTGTGTAGCGCACGCGTGGGTTGGAGCTGAAGGTTTGGGTGCCGAGGGGTGGGAGGGAGATGTCGAGGGCGGTTATTGTGTATTTTGTCGTGTTGAGTAGGGCTGAGATTATGCTGGTGCCTAGGAAACCGCTGCCGCCTGTTATGAGGATGTGAGGGGGATCCATTGCAAAGGAAAAACTATTGCTGTTTTGAATGTGGTGGGTTTAGTTGGGGGATCCGAGGAGAATGGTTTAACGGGGTTCTGGAAAGTCGCGGTACGATCCTAGGGATGTTGCTAGCTGAAAATTCTTTTCCCTGCTGATTTCTCCTTCTCTTTCAGAGTTGATTCAATGTTTTTCCGAAAAGCGGACGCGTGTAAGAAATCAAGTGTTGGGTCTGTTATGATGAGGTTACAAGTCAGACCGATGACCCGTTCGAGCCGGACCATCTGCCGTCTCTCGCCTAACCCCATCAGGTTCGATACATATTCGTCAGTGCCATTTCACGTATCAAATCTGTGGTTTTATTTGAGGTGTAATATTATTGATATTTTCTGAAAATAAAGATGCTTCTAAGGCGATATTGATATTTGGCTAATACAACATAGGAGTGCGATAGCAATATTGTGTTGTGCGCGTGACAAACAGATTATTTTTCCATTTCAACCTCATTTCCAATCACTGCAAAAATTCGTCACTCAACACCACAATAATGAAGTTGAATGAAAATGAGTGTATGAAATCTGATCATCTATGTTTTTATTTCTCTCAAGTACTAAACCTGTCCTAGGCATCCTTACCCCGCGCCTTCTCCTGGTGCCATACTGCTCGCATCACGTCCTAACCTACCACCAATGGATGCAAGACGAAGTACATTATCCCTGCCTCCATCCTCCGACCCCATACTCTCTCTTAAAAAAGCAATAGTTTAATCAAAGTATCCAGGACCTACAAAAGCTCACAGCATCCGAGCCCCTCACGCTGCCAGAAGAATACTCAATGCAAGAGTCTTGGCGACAAGACGTCGATAAATTGACCTTCATCATCTGCACCGCACCAGACCACTCCGCATGGGCTGAGAAGAAGCACATTGTACCTGGAAAGCAAGATGCGCCTGAGTGCATGATTGGAGATGTTGTAAGTCAATGGCATCACGCTTAAAAACAAGTTTGTATAAGTAACACGTGAAAACGCTTAGAACCTCTTTTTGTATCCTTATGACGACGACGATGAAGATAACGTACAGAATGAAGAGAAGAAAAACACTGAAGACATCATAGTCGGCGAACTAGAAATCATGATCGCCCAACCATCGGCTCGAGGGAAAGGCCTTGCACACGAAGCACTCCAGGCATTCATGTGGTACATTTCTTCCTCCCTGCCCGCTCTCCTCACAGAATACACAACACAAGACAAGCAAAAAAGAGCAAGCTTGCGCTACCTACGCGTCAAAATCGACAAAGACAACAAGCGTAGTCTGGCGCTGTTTGAGAAACTAGGGTTCAAGCATAGTACGGGCCCAAATTACTTTGGAGAACTGGAATTGCGAGCAGATATGCTAGATGGGGCCTTCCATATGGACAATATCGAGAAACTAGTATATAGCTCTTCATAGACGCAAAACCGAAAAGCTGGGTTTAATCTGGCCTCCATGGAGTGCAGAATTTCAGATTTGGTATCTAGATATGGAAGGAAAATGCGAATTGTACAGAAAAGAAGAACGCCCTGAAAATGCAAAAAGATGCTTTTTTTGCCCCCGGGATTACGATTCTTCTTCTTCTCCATCCTCATCTTCGTCTTCTTCATCAGCCGTGCCATTAATCAGGCTTTTCCGCGGCACTTCGAAAACGTAGATGCCGTTTTTGACTTTACCGGACATCCATCTTGCTAGTCTTGGCTCCTTGCCTACTGCTGCTACAATGCATAACCCGTCTTTGCCCCGGTCGCCTCGTTCCTGTATTGAGAGTCCGTTGACGATGCCTCGAATCAGAATTGGACTATCGTCACTATTGCCGTCCATTGTTGCATCCTCATCGAGAGGGACACGTCCCACCTTTCCAATCGGCTCAATACTCCTTTTGTCGTCGGTGATTTTCCAAGCACGTATCCAGCCATCCCAGCTCGCTGTAAGGACAAGATTGGCAAACGGCACCGTAGCGAGCGCGGTAACGTATCTTGGTAAACGCGGTCCTGGTTTGACCGAAGTGATGGCGTCGTGATTAGCCGACATTTCTTCTGCCGCAAGTGGTGGATCACGGCCATGCGTAAGCGGGTAGGTGAAAAGAGGCTTCTTCCTGGTGACTGACCACAACGAGAGGGCGCCATTATCAGAAGCTGTAACAAACAAGCTGGCATCAAGGAGGCCAACACAGTCAATAGAACCTTCTGCGTAAGCAATGGGCGTATCGTCATCGTTGGGGTGTGTGCCGTTGGCCATTCCATCCTTTGCATCTTCTCCGTCAACATTCTTGCCAAAGCGGCCTTTGCGCAGCTTATCCATGCCCTTTTGTCTTGCTGTGCCACCACCATGGAATACCAACTGGTTCTCCTCGACAACTCTCCATAGACGGGCAGTGCGGTCTCGAGCACCGACACTAACACACGTCTCTTGATTGATCTCCAGTCCACCAGCAACTCCAATGACAGCGTCTTGGTGTCCCACAAGTGTCTCAATGTATGCAGACTCTGGAGCACTCCACACAATGACGGCACGATCTGCTCCACCCGAAAACAGTTGGTCAGTACCTCGTCGAAACGAAAGCGAAAGGACAGCATCACGATGGCGAGTGAACAAATGGCGGGGCGTGAGAGTACCGGCATCCCAAATAATTAGTCGGGCATGCATGTCGCCAGTAGCCAGATATTTTCCAGAATCCGATATAGCAATGGACACAATCTCGCCAGTGTGGCCAAGGTAGGCCCTATCGCCCTTCTTGTTCTTGTTTCCTTTGCGCCAGAGGAGTCGTTTGGGAGTTCTACGCGGCGTGATGTTGGTTGGACGAGAGGCATCTGGCGCGTACGATTTCGGGTCGGCAATCTCCCACTTTTCTACGACAAGGTCTTTGCTGACAGTCCACGCATACGGCAGCTTGACGGCACAGCCTGTTATCGCCTTTTGCAGGCCCGAGTAGCCAGCAGCATGCGATGCGCGCTCAAAGTCCAATTCGTCGGCTATGGAGCGGTAGATCTTTCCCTTGCCCTCTGCGACGTCCTCCTTAAGTCTTTCTGCGATGAGGTCCTTGTCAATCTGCTCAGCGTCGAAGCCCACCTCTTGCTCGACCTCGCTACGGATGTTTTCCAGATAACGCTCTGCCAGTCGGAGGCGCTTTTCGGCGGCTGTCTCATTCTCGTCTTCGGAAGTCTCGTCACTGTCATTGTCATCGTCAAAGACGGGTCCGCCCTCGTCGTCGGAGGCGTCGCTGCCGCTGATAGAGTCTTCTCGCTGGGCGCGGCGGGCATTGGCGTCGGTGTTGCGCCTCTTGGGAGCGCTGGATGTAGCTTCGGATCGCTTCCGTTTCCGCTGCGAAGCGGGGGTGGTGAAGAAGGAGGAGGACATGATGGCAAGGTCGTGGTTGTGAGCGACAGAGGCCCTTGGTGGATTCCAGATGCGACCTGAAAAATGGTCGGCCAACTTTTTTTCCAACGCCGACTGGGATGGGAGCTGCCACCGCCGCGGAGGTCTTGGCGCACGTGCACCTTGAGCGCGCTCATTCCGCCGCCGCGTTGGGGCACATCATCGACTCCATCACCGCCATCATCGTCGTTTGTTACAAATCACCTTTGCTTTCCCGCCCCTCCTCGGTTCCTATTCCCCAGATCGAACTAATCCCCCCGTCCGGCCGTTACCCTCAGGAAGAGGCACCCGCTGCAGCAAACCCAGCCATTATCCATCTACGCAGCACCGCCCTTCACTTATCCACCACCCACCCACAGACATACACAGCCCACCATGAGTGGCAGTGGCGACCAAGAACGCGAGCATGCGCTTGAAGCCTACAAGTCCAAGCTCCTCGAGTCAAGAGAGTGGGAGGCCAAGCTCAAGGCGTTGCGACTAGAGATAAAAGGTCTACAGCATGACTTTGACGTATCGGAGGAGAACATCAAGGCGCTGCAGAGTGTTGGTCAGATAATAGGCGAGGTGCTCAAGCAGTTGGATGAGGAGCGATGTACGTTGTATCAAAGACTCCGCCACTCTCAAATGCTAATCCGGCGTCTGCAGTCATTGTCAAGGCATCATCCGGCCCCCGCTATGTAGTCGGATGCCGGTCAAAGGTCGATAAGGCCAAGCTCAAACAGGGAACACGCGTTGCCCTCGACATGACAACCCTTACCATAATGCGCATGCTGCCCCGCGAAGTCGATCCCCTCGTCTACAACATGTCGTTGGAAGACCCCGGCCAGGTCAGTTTTGGTGGAATTGGTGGTCTGAATGAGCAGATTCGCGAGCTCCGTGAAGTCATTGAGCTGCCACTCAAGAACCCCGAGCTATTCCTGCGAGTAGGCATCAAGCCGCCAAAGGGTGTGCTGCTCTACGGACCCCCAGGTACCGGAAAGACGCTGCTGGCCCGTGCCGTGGCGAGCAGTCTGGAGACCAACTTCCTCAAGGTTGTTTCGTCGGCCATTGTCGACAAGTACATTGGCGAGTCGGCGCGTTTGATCCGTGAAATGTTTGGCTACGCAAAGGAGCACGAACCCTGCATCATCTTCATGGACGAGATTGACGCCATTGGTGGTCGACGTTTCTCTGAAGGTACATCAGCAGATCGTGAGATTCAGCGAACCCTCATGGAGCTACTGAACCAGCTGGATGGTTTCGATTACCTTGGTCAGACCAAGATCATCATGGCAACCAATCGACCAGATACCCTCGACCCCGCCTTATTGCGTGCTGGACGTCTTGACCGCAAGCTCGAGATTCCCCTGCCAAACGAAGTTGGACGTCTGGAGATTCTGAAGATCCACTCTGGAAGTGTTGTCACAGATGGTGAGATTGACTTTGAGAGCATTGTCAAGATGAGCGATGGATTCAACGGTGCCGATTTGCGCAACGTCGTAACAGAAGCGTAAGTACTCTTGCTTGAACTAGAGAAATAGAGACAATAGGTGCTAACATTTTCCAGCGGTCTCTTCGCTATCAAGGACTACCGAGACTCAATCAACCAGGACGATTTCAACAAAGCAGTCCGGAAGATGGCCGAGTCAAAGAAGCTCGAGGGCAAGCTAGATTACCAGAAGTTGTAGATTGTGATGCTAATCACATTACGGCCGTGATGAGGGTAGAGCGATGGGCATCATGTACGATAGTACGGGACGATGACATGGCAATATTAATAAATAAACTGCCCAAATTCTGTTTGACTCTACATACGTTATCACGTGGTGTTCCTGGGTGACGTATGTTCATTAGCTTAGAATTTAAGACCGGCCATAGTAACGCACGTGACAGCGCGCTCTAGCGAAATGCAGCCCCGGCCGTCGAGTATGTGAGAAGATGTTGGGTAAACACGCCAACGGCATTTTCCTACAACACAATAGACATGGACGGGTCGCAGTCGCCAACTAAGCCAAAGCGCTCTCGCGCCGAAATGGAGGCCGAAAGCAGCATATCTGCAAAGGAATCTGCAGTGCAGGCTCACGAAGGTACCATCAGCCCGTGTTGTATGCGCGCAACTTTCTCTAACACTGTATTCTGTAGATGATACATCTTCCGACGACGACGACTTTGGGCCCGCCCTTCCTTCCTCTGCGCCGAAAAAGAAGAAACGCAAACTGCCTTATGAAAAGCTCTACGTTGCTGCGCTGCCTGGCGCAACCCGCTACTCCAAATCACTCATGCACCGCGAACAACTGTGCTTCACCACATTTACTCCCCACACCGACTTTCTCATCACCAGCTCCATCGATGGCGTTGTTAAGTTTTGGAAAAAGGTCTTTGGAGGCATCGAGTTTGTTAAAGAGTTTCGCGCCCATAGTGGTGAGATCAAGTCTGTCAACGTGAGCGCAGACGGTCGCAGCTTTGCGACTGCTGGCGCGGACAAGACTATCAAGATCTTTGACGTCGTCACATTCGACCTGCTAGCTATGTTGACCTTGGATTATGCTCCTCTGGCTGTTTGCTGGCTGCATGGCCGAGGCGCAAGCTTCCCCCAACTAGCTGTCAGCTCGGAAGAGAACAGCTGGATCCGTATATACGATGGCAGGGGTGAGAATCCGGAGCCGCTACATGTCTTGAAAAGTGTGCATAGAGCGCCTGTAAGTCTCATGGCGTACAACAACGACTACGACTGCGTAGTGAGCGTGGACCAAGGCGGTATGGTGGAGTACTGGAGACCAAATGGAAACTATGAGAAACCAGACAATGTGTGGTCTTTGAAGAGCTCGACAAGTCTGTTTGAGTTCAAAAAGTCCAAATGCGTCCCTTCTTCGCTCACCGTTTCGCCCACTGGCAAGCAATTTGCTACATTTTCGTTTCCTGACCGCAAGATCCGCGTGTTTGACTTTGCGTCGGGAAAGCTGCACCGAACCTATGACGAATCCATTGAAACGATGACGAGCATGCAACAGGCTGGGACTGCGGTTCAGCATCTCGAAGACATGGAGTTTGGGCGAAGAATAGGCATCGAGAGAGAACTTGACCAGCCGTGGGTGCGAAGCCGCATGAATGTCATTTTCGATGAGACGAGCAATTTCATTCTCTACGGCAGCATGTACGGCGTAAAAGTCATCAACACGGTGACCAACAAGCTCGTCAAGCTCTACGGCCAAGAAGAGTCGATCCGCCCACTATGGCTATGTCTCTACCAAGGCCAACCCGAGAAGAAAGGAGTCGTCACAGTCGAAATGGCAGCAAGTGAGAACCCGCTGCTACAAGAAGCCGAAGCCCGAGATGCCATGCTGGTATCTACAGGATCCGGCAAAGTCCGCTTTTACATGTACACCAACGACTCGACCGTCTCCAAGTCCGTCCGCGACGTGCAAAACGAAAAGCCGCGCACCGCAAACGCGAACAAGAAGAACGACGAAAAGGCTCTCGCAGCAACCGGTACAACAGCTACCTTGCACACAACTTATGGCGACATCACGATCCGCCTCTTCCCCGATGCGGCCCCCAAAGCCGTGGAGAACTTTGTCACTCATGCCCGCAACGGCTACTACAACAACGTCATTTTCCACCGCGTCATCCGCAAATTCATGATCCAAACGGGTGATCCCCTGGGCGACGGCACGGGCGGCGAAAGCATCTGGGGCAAGGAATTCGCAGATGAGTTTTCCAACCTCAAGCACGACAAGCCGTATACAGTTAGCATGGCGAATGCGGGACCTAATTCAAACGGAAGTCAGTTTTTTATTACAACGGAGAAGACGGTAAGTTCATTTTTTTTTACAAATATATATACACCCTCCTCCCTCCCTCCATCCCTTACCTTCAATGTGTTCGAAATTGTGATGAATATGACAAGCTAATTAATTCTCGTCGTGTCAGCCGTGGCTCGATAACAAGCATACGATTTTCGGGCGCGCAATTGCAGGCATGGACGTTGTGCATAAGATTGAGAATACCAAAGTGTACAAGGAGAAGCCGGAGGAGGATATCAAGATTATCAATATTTCGGTTTCTTAATGCTACCATATCAAGGTAGTTGATATACATATATATTTATATACACGAGAAAGCCGTATGCTCAAGAGTCAAAAACACCGGACGACGCTGGGAAAGAAAAAGAGTAAACGGTTTTTTGTTATTAACAATTTTGACGAGAGAATGGAGATGATAAGACAAAAGTTTGGAGCTAGCTCTCTCTCTCTCTCTCTCTCTCTCTGCAACGAGAGAATATCGATACGTGGCACAATATATATATATATGCTCTGGCAAACCCAATCAACGTCGGTAGGGAAGAGGAGGGGAAGTTGCACAAGGACGATGAAGTTCAAGTGAACAAAGCTGTCAATAACTCGCTTCACCACCCAAATTCAGGAACTCTATTAAATATCCAAATTCCACACCATAATGCAAGTTGCCTTTCTCTCTCTCTCTCGGAAATAAATCCCCTTTGTGCCCGAAAAAAAAAACGCCCGCAGAAATATGACCCACAAATACATCGTCAATCAGTTTGAACAAAAAAGTAGAAAGAAAGGAAGGAAAAAATAGAGGCAAAAAACGCTTTCAGCACAATTTGGCTGTCGAGATATGGAGAGAGAAAAAACAAGAATGAAACAAAAAAAATCTGGTATCATGTTCATACGCCCCAAGCGCCCCCTCTCTCTCCCATATGGCGCCTTCAAGCAAACCCCATCAGGAAACAAAAACAAAAACAACGCACTTTGTCTGTGCAAGCAAGCCATGAGTGGAGAATCGCTCAAATGTGAGCAAAGAAGTAGAGCCAAAAAGGGAGCAATGAAGCGTCTCATGTAGAGTTGGGAAGCGCCGAACGGATGCAATGCTAGATGGAACAGTGGGCCTGACGTGATGTATATGTGTGTATGTGCTTGTGCAATTCCTTAGTGCACTTACTTCGCCGCCGCTGGTGAAGGCGAGTTGCGGCCGACAGGGTGAGGCGAAGGAGCACCGGTAATTGAAGAACGCTTTTGGGTTTTGAGAGCATCGAGCTTCTTCTTGAGCGCCTTTTGGCGGCTCTTCATTTGTTCGAGAACTAGACAATGTTAGTTGGGCAGCTTCTGATAATCATGATTGTGAAAAACACGTACGCTTTTGTATTGACCTTCGGTCTTCACCGTCGAGTCCATTGATTTCCTCCGCGTCAGATTTGTGACCTGGTACGTCTTCTTCTTCCTCGAGGACAGCTTGAAGCATAGTGATCGCAGTCCAATAGTTGATGTCGCAATCGGCCAGGTTGTGACCTGTGAGCTCGTCGATGGCGGCTTGACGGCTCATCTCAAGAGAACGGTCGTACAGTAGCTTTTCGGCAGTAACCCCAGTGGTAAGCAGAATGTTCTCAGCAGAGCCCACGGCAGTCGCTGAGCCTGACGCTGCGGACTGGTTCTGAGGATGACTGGGGTGGTCAGGTGGCAATTGCTGCTGTGCTTGCTTAAGCTTGCGAGCAACGATTTCTGATTTGACACAGCACTCGTTGAAGCGATCTCGCATCCAAGAAACGACCTGACCGAGCTTGGCGTTTGTACGACTAGTTCCGTCGAGCCCGCTATGGCGACGAGTTCGATTCCAATAGCTTCCGGTGAGGTCCATGGCCTTGTTTAGCATAGCGAGTGTCTTGACGAACAAGACCAAGGCTTCCTCGGAAATCAGGAGGATAGTGTCAGGCGTGAGGTCTTCATCGTCTTCGTCGTCTTCGATGACATCGTTGCTTGGCTTGCGAGCAACCCCTGTGGACCCGTCACCCAAGGCCGGGTCACTTGGTGCAACAGGGACTAGTTGACTGTACTTTACTTCAGCAAAACCATAGACAACGTGGCTGAGTTGTGCCAGATCCTCGATCCTTCGAACTGTGAACGAGTCCTCGTCTTTGCTGACCATCTTGCCCCCGTCACCAACAAGCAGTATACTGCTTTGCGCGGTGGGGTATGCTGGGAACGCCGAGTATCCTTGGGGCGGCGGTGATACGCCTTTCATGATGGGTGGTGAAAGTCCAAGTCCTCGGATATTGACCATGTTCATGGCCTTGGATAGAGCAGAAGTTGCTGTTTCAAAGCTGGGCCGGTATTGTCTTCGACTGTATGAGCCAGTGCGTTGATGTGTGATTGTGGGCTTTTGCTGGATCTGGATAGCTTTTGAAGGGACCGCACCAGTAGTCGATGTGGGAGAGCCTTGTGTTGTCGACCGTCGTTTGATCGGGGTATCCCTATACATTGGTCGATCTTGCTGTGTTTGTGGGCTGTTGGCAATTTCGTCTGCGAGAGCGTCAATTTCTACACGACGCTTCTCCACAAACACAAAACCCTCGTCTAAAGCGTTATCCTGTGCAGCTCGCTCAGCCGCCTCTCGTAGTACTTCAGCTCTTTGCGGAATACGCTCACGGTCGAGATGCTCTTTCAAACCGACAGGTGGCGGTGCTGGTTCATCGCGAGAGTGTCTGCGTCTGTTACTAAGTGCGGTACCCTGCGCAGCCTGGTCTTGCAGGGTTGCGGTGCGCGCTGGTGCCGTTGCAGCATTGCCAAGAGGTGGGCGTCGATGGTCGCGATAAGATGCGCGCTCCTCACTAGGATCGACTGGCGTAATGCTGGACCTTCGGGCAGAAGCCGGTATCGGCGGGGTGTTTGAGTAGTTTCCAGAAACCGGTCTAGAGCTTGGCCGCGAGGAAGGCCTGTTCCTGGGCGATGAACCATACGGACTATCCGAAGCTGGGCGATCCATCTCGGCAGGCGCTTTCTG